AGAGTGGAAGCTCCAAGAGCCGCTTGGAGAGCGGAGTGGAGACACTTAACAGTGCGAGAGAGCGAGATGCGAGCGATCTGGAAGAACTGCTGTCTCGACTGTCAAGGCTCCAGGGGCGCTTGAAGGGAAAATGGGCCGGGACTGGGGGCGCCGCTCTGGCGCGAACATTCTCCCCCCCCTTGCGAGGGCGAACGTAGCAAAGGATTAATCCTTAGGCGTGTCTGCATGCTCCAGACACGACCCATCCAAAGACCGTGCCCTGTGCGACGGGCAGCCCATCTCGTATATTTAGGAACCCGGGCCTGATTACGTCGGGGTATACGTCCGAGCCCAACACCAGCGAGACTGTCGCTGGGCGATGGAACTGCTCATCGGCCAGACGGATATCATCAAATTGGGCTCGCATAGAATCGCTTAGCGCGCGGATAGGGGTGCGGATTCGTAGACTCTGACTGATCTTCAGCAGCACGTCGATCTGGAAATCGCCCGTCCTCGACCGGATTGTCGTCGAGCAAACTTCTTCGCCTCTCACTGTCGTCGTGGGCAACTTGAACGCAGTTGCCAGGGAGCTGTCGATGGTGCTGACGGGCGTGCAAGGGTCGATTAACGCAGCCGTCTCGAAGGTGGTGGCCCCAGACTCCAGCAACACGATAGCCGTCGGAAGAATGTGGAGGCTCTGATGCTGCAGGAGAGCCGCCACTGATGGAGTTGCTGCTGACGCTGGACGTCGGACCGGTGTCCGTGCTTCCCGTGCCGCTGGCGATGGAGACCGCGAGACTGCCCTTGACAGCCGAGTGGTCGATCCGCAATGTTGCGAGGATGGCGATTGGCGACGTGGCGGGGATGGCGATTGACGACGCTGCTGGATGGGCGGTTGCCGAGTAGTCCCGGACATCTCGTGCAGGTGCAGCAGCGTGTGATGATTCTGCCCGCACTTTTTGCACGTGTCGCCACTGCGACATTGCCCCCCTGAGTGTTGATGGGCCAGGCAATTCGCACAATATTTATTGATGAGGACGGCACGGAGCCGCTTCTCCGTGCTGAGCCTAAGGAAGCGGGTGCACTTTCGTAGAGGATGGATTCCTCGACAGACTCGGCAGCGGTAGGATCGAGTACCTTGTGAACGTCTGTCGTCCAAGGTTTGGGCGCTGCGAGGACGTGGAGCCATGGTTTTGATGCTTTAATAAAAAATGATAAGCAAATTTAGTATCAATTTGTGAACGGATTTTGAAAAATAAGGACAGAAGGCACTATTTTTGGAAAGCGGAGGTTGCCTTGGCCTCCATAGGAAGAAGTACTAGAATGAGGACAGAAGTTATTATTGCGGAAGTGCGGAGATTGCCTTGTCCTCCATAGGAAGAAGTACTAGTTTGTGGACCGGACGTTGGATGGTTCCACGAGAAGTAAGAATATCTACGACGCGTACTCTAGTATCAGCTCCTGGGATAGCAGCTACGATCCTGCCGAGCAGCCAGTCATTTGATGGCAAATTATCGTCCTTGATGACTACCATATCGTCGACTTGCAGATTTCTGGATGGACTCAACCACTTGTTGCGCTTGTGGAGTTCCTTTAGATACTCTTCTTTCCATCGCGAACTAAATTGTTGATGCTGGGCCTTGAGATGTTGCCATCGATTTATGATTGACTGGGCTTCGCCTTTAATTTCAGGCTCCGCCGTGGAAAGCAACGGTCCCCCGATCAGAAAATGGCCTGGCGTCAGTGCCAGCAAGTCTGTCGGGTCCTCTGACATTGGAGAGAGTGGTCTGGAATTAAGGCAGGCTTCAATCTTTGCCAGAAGCGTGGAAAGCTCTTCGAATGTATACTTGCGAGCGGACGTGGATTTGTAAAACAGCGTTTTAAAACTCTTTACTCCTGCCTCCCACAGGCCTCCCATATGAGGAGCTCCTGGGGGTATGAAACGCCACACGAGTCCCTGATGGCTATACGCATTGGTCACTGACTCCTTTAGTGCTTGCGTAAAGTCACGGGAAATAAGACTTGAGGCGCCAACAAAGGTTTTGCCGTTGTCGGAATGGACCCGCTGAGGACAACCTCTTCTAGCTACAAAACGCGCAAACGCTGCTAGAAACTTCTCAGTTGTAAGGTCGGAGGTGGGTTCCAAATGGATGGCCTTTGTAGAAAAGCACACAAACACACAAACATATCCCTTAGTGATGAGACAAGCTCTCCCTGTATAGTTTTTTACCTCAAAGGGGCCGGCGTAATCGACGCCGGTGTAAGTAAATGGCCTGGAAAAAGAGGCTCGATCAGTCGAAAAATCGCCCATCAATTGGGTCTGCAGTCTTTTCTTATAAATGGTGCACACCTTGCATGAATTCACCACGCCCTTTACCAGATTCTTGACTTTAGGAATCCAATATTTGGATCGCATCAGGCGCACTATCAATTGGTTGCCGCCATGAAGCGTAATCTGGTGCGTGAATTGGACAAGAAGACGAGATAACCGACAGCTGTACGGGAGTAATACAGGATGGCGCTCGTCATACTGCAGGACCTTGGAGGCAGTTAAGCGACCACATGCTCTTAAGAGTCCCTGTTGGTATATAAATGGAAACAAATTAGCAATTGGGCTTGATGCGGGTATGGATCTTTTGCTTCGTAACAATCAAAGCTCGAGCGCGTACTCTTCACGCTGGGCAAGTATTATGTAGGTCCTCTCAGCCTCCCGGATCTCCCGATTACTGAGCTGCTTATCCGGACTTACCGGAGCCTTACGACAGCGATTTAGGAACCTTTGGACGTAAGCTAGGACTCCTAAAGCCTTGTCTAGTCTGGAAAAACGGTCAAGGAAATCATCAGCGGGGAGCTTTACGAAATGAACCTTCACCGCGCGCTGCTCTAATTCAGTGACTGGGTGTGGATCCGAAGTTTCTGGCCATTGAAGTTTGGGCAATTGTAACCACTGGGGCCCATGCCACCAGAGGTTGCTATCGCCCAGCTCTTGCAGGGACACGCCGCGACTAGCTAGGTCGGCAGGATTGTGTTCTGACCGCACATGTGACCAATTCTCAATCTTTGTAGCTTGAGCTATTTTGGTTATGCGGTTGGCTACGAATGTGGTCCAGGAGCAGGCTGGTTTCTTTAACCATGCCAGGACAATGGTAGAATCTGTCCAGCAGAAAATCTCAGAGCTTTTTGACAGCATATTTGGAAGGATGGTAGATGCCATATCTGCCAGCAATAGGGCACCACATAGCTCGAGTCGGGGGAGAGATACAGTTTTCACAGGGGCAACCCGGGTCTTTGCCGTTAGCAGATTAGTCAATATCTGCTGACCGACTTCAACCCTGACATACAGCGCCGCCCCATAGGCTTTTTGGGAAGCGTCACAGAACCCGTGAAGCTCGATTTTTACCTGGGGCTGGTAACCGACCCATCTCGGAATACGGATTTGATCGAGATCGGAATAACTTTGCAGGAACACTTGCCATCTATGGCTCATTTCGTCGGGAAGGTTGTCATCCCAGCCTAACTCTTGCAGCCAGATCTCCTGCATAAAAATTTTGGCCCGGACGATGAACGGTGCAAGCCATCCAGCGGGATCGAATAGCTTTGCGATCTGGAAGAGAACTTCTCTTTTAGTATAGGAGGACTTGACGGATATTTCTGGGGGCACGAAGTAGAACTCGTCGGTGGTTGCTCTCCAACGAATGCCGAGGGTTTTGGCTGTGCTTTCGGCATCAATATTTAGGAACTCAGAATGGAGAAGATGCTCATTTGGAATGTCCTTTAAAACCCCCTTGTGGTTGGAAGTCCACTTTCTAAGCGGAAAACCGGCCGAATTCAAAGCGGTTACTAACTCCTGGATGGCAAGTTGAGCTTCTTGTTGAGAATTCGATCCTGCTAAAACGTCATCAACATACATGAAGTTGCGGATTATATGACTGGCTTTTGGAAACTGCTGATCGACGTCATCAGCCAGCTGTTTCAGCACTCGGATGGCGAGATAGGGCGCGCAATTGACACCGAATGTTACGGTTTTCAGCTCGTAATCTCGAATGTCACCTTCCTCGTTCAAGCTAGTCCCATTTGCTGACGGGCTGGAAGCGTTGAATACCACCCGGAGTTTCGTGGTCGTGCTTTCGGGTTTTATAACCGCATGGTGTGGGAGGTAGTAGTTTGGAGAATTGTGAGTGGGCGAAACCTCTCTCATATGGCCTAAATCCAAATATTCTTGAATTACGGAGTTGTACTGCTCATTTAATGGAGTGTCCCTTCGTAAACGATTCTCGTTTCTCAGAAACTGAGCAAGTGCTATAGACCTTGAGTAACCCAACTCTGATCCACAATGATCGGGGTCCCAGAACGGTAACGTCACTACGTACTTCCCGCTCGCGTCTCTAGTTGTGGTTCGTAGAAAATTACTTTCGCAGACGGAATCGGACTCTTTTACCATTTTTGATGGTAGATCTTCCACCTCCCAAAACTTCGTAAGAAGTTTGTCTAAGGATGCCTCACTTGTTTTTGTAATTTGAGTCGTAAAGGCTGAGACTCGGTTGCTCGTGGACATGGACACTGGACCAGTGAGCACCCACCCGAAGATGGTCTCTTGCCCAAAAAGAGATCCGCAGATGTTGGTCTTTGTGCCACTCAGCAGCACGGATGGAAGAATATCAGCTCCGATAAGAACGTCTATCTGGGAACTCTGGAGAAATGTGGGATCTGCCCATTGAAGGTTTGGCAAATCTCTCAGGATATCTTGTGGAATGGAATGTGAGGGTAATCTGCCTGCTAGTTCTGGCAGAACATACGCTGCGGTGTCTAACTGCAGGCCCGGCTTAGTAGGAGAACGAATGGCGAAATGGCAAAGCCTTGTTGACTGGGCAGAAACGGTCTGATTTAAACCAGACACTTGAGCTTGAATGGGGCGGAACGGCAGATTGACCAACTTGAAAAGACGCTCCGTTATGAACGTCGCTTCAGATCCCGAGTCGATCAAAGCGCGTGCTCGGAAGTGGGTGCCGAGGTGGCAAATATCAATCATTGCCGTGCAATTTGCCCGAGGCAAAACAGACTTGTACATTTGAGTGTTCATCGGGAAAGTCTGAGCCTCCCGACGGAGGATCGGATCTAGGTCTCGCATGTCCAGAGGAACTTGGATTGTTGGAAAATGGGTTGCCTCGATGCAAAAGCGTGTGATGTCTCCCTCGGCATACAAAGCAGCTGTGCGTACTGGAACAATCCCGGAGCTGATGGCCTCTCGCGAAGCAATTCAAGCATAACTGCTTCTTTTTTATGTAGTTTTCCCGCGCCTCGACTGCCATCTGAATGAAGCGAGGGCACAACCGCACTGGGTGAGTCTCCTTAGAGCACAAATCGCAACTCTTTGGTTTGACACTCACTTTGGCTTCAAAGGAGTTAAGCTTCTTCGTAACTTGGGAATTTTTGGAAGTTGACGGACCACCAAGACTCTGCTTCATGTCCTCAATGGCTTCTAAGGTTCTATACCTATCGCTAAGGAACGCGTTCATCTCATCCCATGTAGGAACATCAGACTTTGATGTAAGGGATTGTTCCCACAAGGAAAGGGTCAATCTGGGCAACTTACTGGCGCACAGGTAGACCAGCAAGCAATCCCAATTTTCGGTTGATATTTTGGAGTGGGCTAATGCTGTCAGGCACCCTTGGATGGTGCTCTGAAGCTCTTTTATGGAGTGGCCAGTTTCGGCATTAACGGAACTTAAGTTAAATAGGAGCTTGAGCTGACTGTTCACTAAAAGTCTTTTGTTTTCGAAACGGTCTCGAAGCGCCTCCCAAGCGGAAGCGAAACCATCATTAGTGAGCGGGGACTTGGCAACAATTGCCTTTGCCTCACCGCTCGTTTTCGCGTTGAGATGGAATAACTTCTCGACCGGCGTCAACCGTGTGTTGTTGACGTAGACGGCAGTGAAAAGGTCCCTGAATGTTGGCCATTTGAGATAGTCTCCCTCGAATACTTCTGTATCACATGGAGGCAACCGGCACCCAGACGGAATGTACGCGGACTGATTGTCGGTGCTCGACAACGGCTGCTGTGAACTGGCTCGGTCAATTAACTCGCTGAGCTGAACCGATAGCTCCTCGTACACCGAATAGCAATATTCATATTTTCGGTGTAGAGTCGCCAAAATATCCGACGCCTCGTCAGTCGTAAGGCTGGAAATCGTGTCTAGACAAGCTTCAAATTCCTTCTCGGCTTTGTCCCAGAGTGAACGGACTTGTTCTTTTCGGACTTTGCAGGTGTGGACGGACGGAGCGGCAGCTCCTGGAGTTTCTATAGTCGCTCTGAAATGGCTCATACGGTCGGACACCGTGATAAACCGCGCGAGGGCTGCAACTGCAATTTCGTTACTCATTTTTGCCTGAGAACGAGTTGCTAGCGACTTTACGGACTTGGTCTGGATTTGCGACCTAACTTTAGGCGTGAGCGGACTTAGAGACAATCGTTTCGGATGGATTGTAGGAACAGACAACTTCTTGTCGCCTGCTTGGCTGGCTACTGAAGTTTCGCTCTTTGCCTTTGATATTGGATTTGGGGCTACTGGGCTTGAGGTGCGCGCGCGTGGTGATGCGGATAGCGATCGCGTTTTATTTGCAGACGGAACTGACAACTTAGTTTTGTCTCCTGGCATTCCAGAAAGGTCCGTCCTGGAATGTGGTCACGCTGTTGCGGATCACCGGGATTGATTGGCAAAGAAAAGGACCGACGAAAAAATGGATAACTTCCGGAAAATACGGCCCCAAAATTTCAAAAAATCTAATAGCTGAATGTCAACAATAGTGGATCGACGCGACAAAAAATATTACGGAATTAGTTCAATTTTGTTTTTAAAAAAAACAAAAATGTTAATATATCGCAGTGGCTTCTTAGTTTCCTCGGTATAGATTGCAAGCGGTCCGCTTTTGTTTCCTAGCGTTGCAGCTCCGTGGTCTACTTTGGAATATGTGGAAACGGAACACCAATAAAAATTTCAAGGTTTTCGAAACAACTATTTTAACGTGCGAGGAAAATATCGTTGGTGTGGAAAAAAATATTCTGCAAGATATTTGCAGTCGGTTGCTGTGCTGCGAAAATGAGCGGTAGGAATGGGAAAATATATATATCGCGCACCGTCACGGCTTGGTCACAAAAAATATTTATTTATTTTTATTTTAATGGATGTGAGCCGCCGGTGTGTGCGAATTAGCGCTGCTGAAATAAATACCATGCAAGTTCTGGACAGGCGTATCGTGCTGGTGGGTTCGGTGGAACCAGGTTATTTTTTTTGTAATTTTATGCAATATATAATAAATTGTGTTCAGCGGAAACAAGTTATTTTGGTATTGTGTATAATATAATTAATTGTGTTGGGTGGAGAATATATATAATTGTCCATATATTAATAGGTGTATCAGCATCAGGATTATATGTTTTTAATTTGTGTATATATATTGTATATTTTATCTTCGGAAATTATAAATGATGTGGGCTGTATTTTAAATGTTGATTTGGAAATGTTTGTAAGGTGTACCGAGAAGGAACGTACGTGTGTATCGTGCTTACGTTGCCTAACGTTACGTTACGTGACTTTTCCCTTCTGTACATACGTGGAAATGGATATGTCGATATGTACGTACATTAATAAGCATGCATTAGTATTCTGTATATGTGTGTATGTATGGGCGTATGGATGTGTGTTTTAAAATTGTAATTTTAAATATTTTGTAAATTGGAGATAATGTGGATATATGTGTATGTATGGGCGTATGGATGTGTTTTAAAATTGTAATTTTAAATATTTTGTAAATTGGAGATAATGTGGATATATGTGTATGTATGGGCGTATGGATGTGTGTTTTAAAATTGTAATTTTAAATATTTTGTAAATTGGAGATAATGTGGACTGTATGGTAAATGTCGCTGTAGAAATGTTCGCAGGGTGTAACGCGGAGGTACGTGTATGTTAGCTTACGTACATATGTTGCGCTGGTCAGGCATATGTATGTACGTACATTAAAAAGTGTGCATCTGGATTGTATGTCCGTATGAACCCAAATATGTATGGAAAGTGGGAACTATGTAAAGCAAAGCCGGAAAATGGCGGTCGTATGAAGATGGAAATAGCAATACGAAAAAAGAAGCCGGAATATGGCGGTCGTATGAAAATGGAAATAGCAATACGAAAAAGAAGCCGGAAAATGGCGGTCATATGAAAATGGAAATAGCAATACGAAAAAGAAGCCGGAATATGGCGATCGTATGCACAAATGGAAATGGCCGATCAGACAGATATACGAAATTGGATTGGAAAAATTGGAAATATCTGGCTGGTCGGCAGCAATACGTAGATATAAGAACGGTCGTACTTATCTTAAATTGATGGAAAGGAAATCAAGGAAAAATCCGCCTGGTTGAACGCTGGTGCTGGAACTTCGTCTCCTCTTCTAGAAATTATCCGGCTCGAAGGACCATGATATGTCGGGGGGCGGGATTTTCCAATTGGGGATGTTTGTGCTGGTGCTACCGATCCCGAGAAGTCAATTTAAGACGGCCGAAATGTTTTCGTTTTCACTTTATAAAATAATACTCCACGATTTTATTGACTTCAATTGCGTACGGTTCGTTACACTGGTAAATTAGAACTAACTTAAAACTACAGAGTGGAAGCTCCAAGAGCCGCTTGAAGAGCGGAGTGGAGACACTTAACAGTGCGAGAGAGCGAGATGCGAGCGATCTGGAAGAACTGCTGTCTCGACTGTCAAGGCTCCAGGGGCGCTTGAAGGGAAAATGGGCCGGGACTGGGGGCGCCGCTCTGGCGCGAACAATGTTGAATAAATTACATAATACAAAAAAATAATAAATAAAAAAATTTTAAAATTCTTGCTTTTTAAATGGACGGTTAAATAAATATTTGTAAGTTTTTAATAGATTAATTAATTTTAATAGATTACTTTTTGTCATTCAGAAATTGTCAAAACACCTAAAAGTTAACTTTTATTCATTAACAATTGTTAAAGGACTAGTAAACGATGAGAAAACATGAATTCCTTAAGGATCCGATAAGAGTGACGTTTTTTCATAGAAAAAAGCCGAGTCCTTGCTAAAACAAATTCGATATTTTAAAAACTAAAAGTGGCTCCATCTTTTTACAAAAAACGATTGTAACTAACAATATGGCGCAAGTCTTAAAATAAAAAAAATATTTTTTTTGTGGGGGCAATGGTTAAAAAATTTTTTTAAATCTTAATTTGATTTTATTTTTAGGAAATTAAGAAACGAAAGACATGAATTCAATTGGATTCATATAACTGGAGATACAGATTGTTAAAGAATAGTACGTGTAAAAAAAGTTTGAGGCAAATAAAAAATGTGAAATTTTTTTTTGGCCAAATCTGTTTGGCTTGTAAAAGAACGGCCCATATGTTTCTTTAAGAAGGCTGCAAAGAATTATAGGAGTTCCTAGTCTTGAGGGGTCTGTCACGATTCCTAGTGGGGTAGTCAAACGAGTCGCTGTCTGCTTCGAATCTTTGTTCCTCCGTCGCGTTAATAGGTGAGACCGTCGTTAATGCCGGTAATTATTGGGGTAGGATGATACCTTCCAGAACCGTTAAAGCCAGGGTAATTCTCCCTTCTACGCCGTACGACCTCCTACGGCAGGCCGCCGGCGTATTGGAGATTGGGCAAGGAGCAGCCCTTTAACTGCCAAGAATGCTGAAGGGTAAGGGAATACTTTAGAGGTGTCCCGTACCTGTGATCTAAGAGGCTTTTTTATGAAGTTGAAAAAAGAGCAGAAGCGGAGAAGATCTTCCGGAAGGGTTTGCACTAACCAGCACGTGATTGGGGTACACGAGGTTATGCCCTTCACGACTGCAATCTGCCACATGCGATCGGAATGTTTTCTTTCAGTTATGCAAAAACGATTACGGTTTAGGTTTTGTACAAATTAAGCGGCGTGATAGACTTTATCAATGGTGCGTCGAATTTAACCTAGTGGCGCTTTTAAGAATATTTTTGTGGGTTGTGAAAGAGACTGATTGCAACCGTCTGGGCGTATATGTATGTACCGAAAATTTCCAGACTCTCAAGCTTTTATTTCTTGGAACGTCTTGAAAATATTGCTCCAAATTGGAGGCGGCGAACCAGGCATCTGATACGCAAATGCTAAGCTAAGATTACCCCTCGCTGCCGTAAAATATAGTCTAATTGGGATTTAGTACAACTATTGGTTTTGGGGTTTTCTGGCTGCAAAGTAATAGACGAGCATCCCGTCCAGAACGACGACCATTACCCCGTGCCCGGAGGTTAAATCAACTTCGTTCATGGGCTCAGATGACTGGAAAACGGGTCGGGACTCAACACCTCAATATATTTATTTATTTTTCATATCCCATTTGGTACATTATACAAAATATTCTAGGGACATATGGCATATCAACAGAAAGGTATTTAATCGTGGATTACATACATATAAATTTTTAACCAATGCACCCCTGAGTTCAAGAGTTATTTCAATTCAATCTTTATTTTCAATTTTTATTATAAAAGTTGGCAAATAACTCTTATTTGTTGATAGAGCCCTGCATGAATGGATTCAATGAATTATTTTGAATTTTTTTCTGTTATATGAATGAATTAATTAGAATTTTGTGTTTAATAGAATTGAATGAATTTGAATTTTGACTTTAATAGAATTGAATAAATGAATGACATGAATTCCGAAATAATTCAAACGACAATTTATTTTGAGGAAGAAAGGGCCATTATTTTGTGATTAAATCTACCTGAATTTTATTTACTATGCAGTTAACATTGATTTGTTAAAAATTTTCCACTTTTTGTTCTCAAAAGAAAACACCAAAAAAATCTGAAAAATTCAAACAATTCATAAAATCTTTCATTCGATTCATTCAATTTGAAATGAATTAGAACAACATTCAATTTATTTCACATAGAATTGAATTAAACAAATCAGAAATTTCATGGCATACTATGATAAAACAAAAATTGAATGATTCATGCAGGGCTCTATTTGTTGATTCTTATAACAAAAATTGAAGCGTAAGAGTTATTTGTCAACTTTTATAATAAAAACTGGAGAATAAGAGTTATATGTCAATTTTTTTGAATAGGTTAACTCTTATTTACGATCCCTGCCCATAAGGAAAGCTGCTGAAGTGGCTCAAAATATAAACGTGTTCGTGGACAGCCAAGCGACGATAAGATCCATGCAGTCGTCAACAGTCAGTTCCAAAAATGTAATGGCGAGCAGCGAGGCATTAGACAACCTTAGCACGACAAAGTCAGTTCAGGTCTATTGGGTTCCCAGTCACCAGGGCATCGATGGCAACGAAAGAGCTGACGTTCTTGCAAAGGATG